CGTCGTGTCTCTCTCTATATATGTAAATAATATATGAGATGTATATATGAGAGTGTGTGTATATATTATAGTGTCGTCTCGTCCGTCCGCGCCACACACTATATATATATATATATATATATATATATATATATACTGGTTTTGATTGTATGTGGAGTCCACTATTTTATAATACTAAAGATGGGATGTGGAACCTTGTCTATATGGGGGGTTAAGTAGATATCTAGCACTGTCTTCTTGAATGCTTCTATCTTCAAAATTCTGGAAATTTGCCATTGGTTTTCCATGTGGATTTGGAGTTACTTATCTGTATCCATTTTTTCTTTATACTACGTGTGACTCTTTTTCCTTCAGGAGTCAGTTTGTTTCCAGTCGCATTTGCATGTTTGAGGATGGAGTTGATTATGTACACCTGATAAATTGTTTTCCAAGGTCTTTCTTTTACTAGATCCAGGTCTTGATGCCACCTATTTCATTACACTCCACTTCTTTGAGGGCGAAGAGCATATCTGCTTCAGAAGTGGTGCAGTCCCTCACATGTGTGTGTTTGCATTCAATTAAAGATCACACCTATTTGATTCTCTGTGGATGCTTTCCACAGGGGGTCACTTGTTTTAACTTACACTTGTCTCTCCACCTATTCAATGTGGGATTCTAGCTATTGTATGAGAAGCGGTATGTATCATATTGGAAGTTATCATTTTCTTGCACTGAAAATAGATTTCCAATAGAAACTTACCTCTCCTCACACACTTCCCACTCTTCTCCCCATTTCCAGTGTTCTTCTGTTTCTTGTGGGCCTAATCTTGAAAGTGAGGTTCACGTCAAGTAGGATAGAGGTAGCCAGCTCTTCTAGAAGAGCGTGTTGTGCTCCTGTTGGTGGAGGGTTGTTGCATGCTCTATGCATGCTAAATAAGCAGCTCAAACTTATGGTGTATAAAGGCTAGTTCGTCAAGCAAGAAAATTTCTATTCAATGTGTTAGAGGGCAGTGGAAGATCAAGAAAGGCTAATGTGTGAGAGGAGGAGGTAAATATCTATCCGAAATCAAATTTTCAGTGTAAGAAAATTATAAATTTCAACTTGTTAACTTACAACACCTACATTCTGACACTTAAGCATCATTTGGACAGGTTAGTTTGAACACGAGTCAACTTACAACACTTAAGTTCTGGCACTGAGTGAATCATTTTGAAATGATGCATGTCTTACATTTGAAAAATTGTTAGAATGAATGTACTGCTTGTGTTTATCAATATTCTCCCCAGGAGTGACAGACACTTTTCTCCTTTCTGTGGATTTGGCTTCATATTCATGTGGGGGTTCTAGAAATAGTAGTAATATGTGAAATGTATTGTATTTGGAATTATTATGTTATTATTAAAAAGAAAGGCATCTCTACTATTATATTATATTTGCCTTCCAGTAGCACAGTGGTATGACTGTCGACTTACAATGCTAGCAACTGGGTTTCGATACCCGTGGTGGGCAGAGCACAGATAGCACATTGTGTAGCTTTTTGCTTAACTTCAAACAATAACTATTATATTCCTTTCTTCCCACACACTTATGGTTACTGAGAAGTATAAATTGTGATAACTTTACCTTGTTGAGTGCTGATTGAATTGTGATTAGATAAATCAAGTACTATCTTCCACTAGAGGGCATACAATCAAATGAGGTTTCAGGAGAAGGAAGTAGAGCAAGTAAAAAGATCAAGGTCGAGATCTTGGCAAAACCAAGAGAAATAACTTATAATATTAAGAGACTAATTTTCAAGTTGGGGCTTATTAATTAATATTTAAAATAGTTTCACTATTATTACTTTGGGAGTAGAAATGGAGGTAAGTGAGTTAACTGTTGAGAGTGTTTCTTTACTAGACAGGAAACTTGGAGACTTGTGCTCCTCAGACGAAGAATGTAAAACACCACATTCCCACTGTTCTGTTGGCAATTGTGAATGTGACTCTGGTTACATCAAAGAACTTCGAGTTGGAGAGAATGTTTGTGCAAAATATGAGGGTGAGAATTTTTATTTTATTTTTCGAACAATGCAATTTTTGTATTACTTTAGTATAACTACTTCAGTATAAAAATACTGTTTGTTCAATCTGTAATATAAAGTGAATATTTTATAGTTTATATAAACATTGGTTATATATAAAAAAATTTTGATTAGAGTTTAGAGCTACAAACTGATAAAATTGCATATGTTGTTTCACATGTTTGTCATTGAAAATATGAAAGAAAAGTATTAATAACATTATGATTTTTGATTTAAAAAAATGATTAAGACAATTATATTCTTCAATATGAGAAAAAAGGTGATTAATGTCTAAGGTTAGGCAATTTTTAACAGAAAATCAAGTTGTTTTTTAAATGAACTTTTTCCAATGAATGAGATATTTCTTGCTAAATCTTTTATCAACAACTTTAATGGAAACACATTCACTATAACTCTACTCAGATTTGATACATCATAACACAAGAATGTGCATGAATAATAATGTATGCAATGGTATAATAAAATATTTCATTTTTTATATTGTTTAAATTGTATACATTACATGTTTTGTATTAGAAACTTGCGGTACCATTCTTTACTCTTAGAATTAAAAGAAATGGCTAGCTGTTATAATTTATTTTCTTTAATGGAATGTTCAGTTAGAGTGCTTTGCTTAACACAAGTTTAAAATGTGTTTTAATTATTTTATGAATGTTGTCAAAAATAGTATAAAATAAATTTTCTTCTACGAGTATACTTTCTGTGGCATACTTACATGTAGCATAAACATCATATATCAAATGCAGTTCGGTATCTGCATATTCCATCAAATTATCATTTTATCATTGATCGACTAGGATCCATCTTTTGATGTCACTTTGTCATGAATATTGTCACATGAGACTGTCTTCACTAACCAGCAATCTTCACCTGTATTTACATGTGCAATAGGGTCTTTTGAACTTCTGGCACTGACATTCATACATTTGAGACATGCTTGCTTTTGTTCACTGTTGTGTTCTAATTTGTTACTCACTAGTTTTTTCTCATTTCGATAGATATAATAGCAACATTATTTAGTGATTAGTGAAGATACTTGCTTTTTTAAAATTGTGGTTGTGTCCCCACCATTTTGACTTATGAACTCTTTTCTTGAACCCTACTGGAACTTAGTTTGAAGTCTCTGCTGTCTCATTCTCGCCTGGAATATGAGTCTGTTCTAGATGCTTCTGATTCTCCTTTATTTAGGGATGCTTTTTGGCCCCTGCCCCTATATCACCAGTTTCTTTCAGTGAACCCTTTTTCTGATGTTCAGGCACTGGTGGAATTTCCATTGAGCTCTCTGCTGTTTCATTCTCACCTGGAATATAAGTTTGTTTCAGAGACTTCTCAAAAACAGTCATGACATTTATGTGATCTTTAGTGCTTGCCACTCACTATGTTTCCTTTTCAAGTTGATTATTCTTTTGCTGCAAAGATAGATTACTTACTCTTTCCAGTTCTTATTTTTTTCCAAAACATGCTTACTTCTGCTGACGCTTATAGCTATTACTCGACTGTCAGGGTTTCTTCTTTGCCCTGACTAATTATTGGCCTGATTTTTTTCTCCCTTGCTCCAGTCTTTTATACCCCACTCAATTACCCTGGACAATATTTGTTTCATGATACTCTCCACCTACATCATTGTGCCCTCTATCCTGGTACTGTATATAAGCACCTCATTAAGATAATTTTATCCCTTGTTCTCGACAAACTGTCACTAACGGGTGTCCAAGTATTACGATTGTTTGGAGATACTTTGAATGTTATCATGTTATCTAGTTTATTTTTGTAATTATTATTATTACAAAAATATTTTTTGTTCTTCTTCTGATTGGCAAGGCGATTACGGTATGAATTCCCAGAGTATTATTTTTGGCACAGAGGTAAATTGGGTAGCTCCTCAGTGGCATAGCAAGAGGGGGGCCAGTTGCCCTTGGGTGCAGGTGTAAAGGGGCACAAAATTTCC